CCGTCCTTTGGGGGGGGGGGGGTCAACGGTTTAACCGTTAAGGGCCCCAAAACCTAACAAGAGTCCCCCCCCCCCCCCCCCCCCCTCACATGTCCACCGCCCCCTCCAACCGCTCGTACTCGGGTAGGGCGGCCATCATGACCTTCTGCATGTTCTGGCTGGTGTGCTTTGGCGGCGTCATGGCCTCGCTACCGACGAGCACGAACTCCCCTTTCTGGTGCACCCGCTCCTCCAAACTCCTCCCGTAAGTCCCGCGCGAGGCCGAAACGTCGCTGTCGACGACTGCTGGGGCAGAGCTAGCGTCGTTGGCGCTGCTCATGTTAGCGCAGAAGTCGTGAACGATATTCAGGAGGGCGTCTCCCTCATCATCATCATCGTCATCATCCCCACCGCACAGCAGCTCGGAAAGCTCGTCTGATCTCGAGGAGCAGTGAAGCACACCGCCGGCCGAAGGTCCTGCGTCCGCGAACCCGGCGGGCTCGATGCTCGCGTCCGCGGCACGCTCGAGGGCGGTGCTTGCTTCGTCACCGTCTCCGGTAGCAGAAACGTCCGCGAAAAACGCCTGCCCGAACCTGGTTTCGTGGAACGCCCACGCATTCCGACGTGACGTGTACACATCAGTGCTCGCTTCTCCGGAGTGCATACGGGGGTTGCTTTAGTCCACGAGGTGGTCCTTCGCACGATGATACAATTTCGCCTCCCTCTGAGGGCGATCGCACGTTTGCTTTCTCGAACGACGCTCAAAAACATAAAGAGCATCGGGTGTGACGTGCAAGCCGCTTGCAAGTATCGCGTTCGAAAACTGTGTGTGGAATCGCACACTGATACAACCATATCTCCCGTCTCTGAATTCCTGGCATGGTGGTCGGACATTTGATAGTCTGAACCGATCATTGGGCCCCCGTGGTTACAGGCCAGTGTAGGCCTACTTCCACTAGCGATATGGCGTCACCCCCAACATCTACGGAGACTGGAGCATTCAAGTTTTGGCGCGGGGGATAACACGGAACATAACAACACACAACAGCGGTCGAAACAACAATTAAGAACAACAGCAACAGCAGCAGCAAAAACAACGACAACGACAGCAACAGCAGCAAGCAACAGCAACAGAAACAGCGACAGCGACAACAACAATAACAATAACAACAACAACAACAACCACCACGACAACAGCAGCAGCAGCAGCAGCAGCAGCAGCAACTCAGCTCACCGGTGGTACGATTGCATAACAAACTGGGACAAGCGACTCGCCGTAGTCGCATCAGCAGCCTGAGGAGGCGGGTAGGCACAAGGATTGAACGTTCTTTCAATCGACCCAGCACGTCAAAAGGGGCACCGTCAAAACTGGAAGCCATTATACAGCTTCGCCGGAAGCAACCAAACGAAACAAACAAGCATCCGGCTACGCGACAACGTCGCTGACCTGCACAAAACAACTCCGTTCCCGAACAGGAACCTTACGTTTCCGGAACAGGAACCTTACGGCATACCGTAGGTTGCCTTGCGTAAGATACCACCCCCCCCGGGGCCGGCTCTCACAAACAGCAGCGTTGGATCCGTCTCGTGGAGAGCTTTCAAAAAGCGATTTCTACAATTTAATTTGGCGTCCTCTTCGAGGTGTGGAGTGATCAAGCTTTCAAAACCCGCCCACGGTGTTGTGTGATTGAGGTATCCCATACAAACCCACTGCGCCAAAAACACAGCGCACGTGAAAGCATGACGCGGAGAAGGTGATGAAACGAATACCGTTCGCAAAGTGCTCGTCTTCACAAGATGTTCGACCTCTCTCTGACTGTTTCTCGCTTTGTCTGTCTGTCCGACTCTCTCTCTCTCTCTCTCTCTCTCTCTCTCTCTCTCTTGCTCACCCTCTTGCACCGTACATCTATCTCCCCTCCACTTCTCTCGCCCCCTCTTGTCTGTCTATCTATCCCGACACAGACAAGACCACACCTGTGGGTGGGGACCAGATCTTCGTAGATAGGATTCGACGTGCTCTCCCGAAATGACACCATGTCCGTAGAACATGCCTAGACCGTCCGCATGCTCGATCAGCACCCGCATCTCCTGCCGTCGGGAAGGAGGTGTACATGAGAGGCTACTTCACAACCACTGCCAGGCAACACGGTGCTCAAACAACAGACTCAGAAGCGTTCGGCACATTCGTTGCTCCGATACATGAGAGGGTACCTTACAAGAGGGGGTTCCGATATAACAGCGTCTAGGACCTTTGTCTCACAACCACGTCTGTACCCAGTATGCGGCAGGGGTTCCTCCACCATCACTGCTACAACACATCTCTTTCGATGGGGGTTTTGTCTGGAACGGGTATACTGCTGTACCAAAAGTCTTTCGTTGACCACCCAGCACGAATAGCAGTGGAAACAACGCCTACACACGAACCTTCCTAGTACAGAGGTCGAAATGAATAATCAAAGTTTGACAATGAAAACACGCGTCTTTATTACCTAAGCGACAAGAAATGCTTCTTCCGTGCCCACGTGCAACATACAGCACACATAAGTTTCCTACTCCGAGAATAAATTTCACAAGTATCGACAGTAGCATGTACAGTCGTTCCGAGGATTCATGGCGCGGCCAAGATAGCGTCGAAACGATCAAACGATCATCGAATTACCCCGCTCGAAACCAAGACCACCGTCGAATTACCCCGCAATTTGTACAATCACCTCTTCCTCGGATGTGTCTTCCCCTTCCGTCCGTCCATCGTGAAAACACCTCTCTGCCTGCTCCTGACAGTTCCTGAACTTTGCCTGGGGTGGGGGTGGGGGTGGGAGTGGGGGGGGACTCATGTAAACGCGTGCCCCATCGTTAGACCAATTCGCATCCCTACGATGCCGGGACGGAGCGATATGTATGCCGGGTTTTCGCCAGCCCAGGCTATCGACGTTTCACAAAAGAAGCTGGTCATTACCCTTGCGCTTGATGTGCCAAACCAGATCTGTGGGGGGGGATAAGCGCCAAGAGGATAAATATCAAGCGGGGTAAGGGGAAAAGATAGTGTTGTATGTAGATGACAGCGAAAGCGAGTCAACTTCGCAAACGCGAAAGCACAAATGAGCAGAAAGGCATGACACGTATCATACGACACTGCATGGTCACCATCGCTCTGAGTTGCTTCTTACTCACCCCTAGAATTTTTTTAAACCAACGAACCAGGCTTGCATTGTAACCGATCTCTGCTCAGCCGCTCTGATTAGACCGGGGGTCACGCGGAAGGTTTCTGAGCCCTCCCCCCCACACACATACCTTCCTTCTCTGCGGGGCCTACCTTCGCCTCTTCGCCTTCCTCTTCCGTACGTCCCGGCAAACCCAACCGCGGGCGAAAGAAAAAAAAAAGAACTATGCATACGACTTCAACAGTTTCTACTGTGACGCGCTACATACTTCCGCGATGCCCCGACGGTCAAGATGAGGGCAACGGGAGACACACACAACACAACCTCCCAACACTACTGTGCGCCACCCCCCACCCCGCGAAACCTACTTACCGAGTCTCCGCAAAAGCCGTACAGGTAGCCCATCAACGTCCACGCCCTGCAGTCGGCCGTTACACAACAACGCGGACGGAATGGGGCTGTTGCTTCAGCCGGACATCCAAAACAGCAAGGGTGTGTTGCACCGGCTAACGTTAGCGCTCGGCTCGCGCACTCACGCACAAGCGTTTGCAGGAGGATCAGGTGAGGGTCAGTCGCAACCCCACCACGGCCAATGAATAAAATCGTCGCGTCGTGTCTAGCTAGCTGGAGAGGGGGATGATAACATCACCACCTTACCACCTGGGGTCGAGCAGCAGAAGGTGCCCATGGCACACAAGAAACGACACCAGGGGGCTCTAATACGTAAAGGGGCAGTGGTGATCTCTGTCTCGTCATCACGAGGGAAACCAATGCCTTGTCTGCAACGCTTGCAAAAGAAAGAAACTATCTTGGGTGTCACGAAACATCGTACACATCGTTGTGCACAGAGAAAACGGCTTGGTTGACGTACGGTACAGTATTGCAGACATGAGAAGAAACACGAAACACTCATTGTTGGCGTGGAGTGAAATATTTAAATTTGTTAAAAGTCGGTTTTACCTCGCGGCATCGCTGAAAGCCCCTTCCTCATTGCCCACCAGGGCGGCCTCCGCAAGCCGAATGTACGGAGCCACCTGTCAAGGGACGCACACACGCATCATTTTACGTGAACACGTACAAGCAATAGTGATTCAGCCAGGGACGAGCCTGAAAATTTGTAGCAAGGACAAAATCGTTTTCAGTCTTGAAAAATTTTTTCCGTTTTCAAGCAAATAATTCGCCCCGAGAAAAAGCAATTTGGGTCTCCTTGAAGGGGGGGAGGGGGGGAGCTTGAGCATTCTGCGTGACCCCCGGTTCTAACGCAAGATAACAGGTTGCGTTTCGGAAGACCTCATGGCAACTCACCGATCGGACGGGTCGGCCCTGCGTCAAGGCACCGAGAGCCACTGCACACCAGAACATGGAGGTCGACGGGTCGCTCGGTGACAACTGCTGTTGCTGCTCCCACTGCTTCATCGACGACACCGGCGAGCGTGCCGTCGAAACGATCGACATGTCCCCCTCCCCCCCGCCATAGCAAAACTTTTCTTCATCCATGGCCATCATCGCTGACGCTGGGGCGACCGGGTGTGGCCACGTGTGCCCCGTGCTGCTGCTGAAACCCTTGTTGTTGTCGTTGTCGCTGGAGAAGAGGATTCTCACCATGGCCTCCCGAACCGTGCTGAAAGGTTGGCATGGCATGACATTCGTGGGTTCCCAAAATTACAAGAAGGGAAAAGACACGGGGCAGGGGTGGGGCACGTGCCTCATGTAGTTGTTAAGACCATCGACCACGCCTCCTCGAGAGGGAGAGAGGAGCACTGTTCCCATACGACCAATCACCGATGGCCAATCCTTCCTTCCAAAGGTGTCTCAAATGCGTTTTCCGTATCCCGTCTATACCACTGCTCCCCTGTGCTTAAGGGGGGGGGGGGGGGGGGGAGGGGTGTACTCGTAGTCATGCATGCCGTAGTCGTTGGACCATTGACCTCGCATCCCTACAAAGCATGGAGGGATGTGTACTCATACTCATAGTCGTGCATGCCGTAGTCGTTTGACCATTGAGGGGGGGGGGTGACAACTGCCAACAGATCCTTCCCAGCGTTTCGGGCGTGCGATCGTTGCTGCTGGGCACGGAATCGAAGTGCAGGGATTTGGATGCATGCCAACGTGGCCTCCAAGAGTGTCTCCAAACGGTGGGTTTCGGTACAGGTTGGCGTTCAACGGGGTCGGGGCCTTCGATCCTGCAAGGATAGGACCACGATACAACCTGCGATGGCCTTCTGGAAGCGTTTCCCGTGTGAAGCCGAACTGAGATTGACGCAACTTTCATTGGTCAGCCGGTTAGCGCTGTCGATGTTAACAAACACACCTGTGCATACACACACACACGCAGGTCTCGTGTTCTGGGACCCCTCAACGTGGTCCCACATCACAGCCTCAAGAATTCTTCCAGCTCTCTGCTTCCAGCTTCCAGCCGCACTGAGACTGGCGTCTTTTCATTGGTCAGCCGGGTATCGTGCCCATGTTATTCAACGAATCACAAACGCAATATATAAGTGTTTTGCGTTTTCAACCGAATTTGAGACTGTCGTATTTTTATTTGCTCCGCCGGTTAGCGCGGTCGATACGAAGAATAAAGACACACACCTTTGGCAGGTTAGCGGCAGGAATCCCATGCATCCGAAGAAGTCCCCAAGGAAAGCGTTTTCCTGCGTGCCCACCAGCCCCGTCGCAAGAGACATGCCGAGACGCCCTCTGGAAACCCCGCCGCACACAGGGGGGGGACAGGAGACAAGCATAAAAACGGTTCATGTGTAAATGTGCATCGGAAGAAAAAAAAAGTGAATGGCAAGCAGCGACGGAAATAATGCCGAGATAGACACGGGGTTATCGTGTACAAGAAGAAGCGGACCCGTTTGATTGGGAGTTGGACATTTTACGGCGGCAAAGACAAGGGGGTGTGCACAAAACGACATTGATTGGAGTGCTTGAGATATTTAGGTGGGTGTTTCTCTTGTCTGCACATCTCGTTGTGTCTGTCTGTCTGCTATCTGCCTGTCTGCCGACCTGTCTGTCTGTCTGTTGTCTCTCTGCCTGTCTTCATGTCTGGATGTCTGTCTGTCTATTTTTCTATCTCTCTCTTATGCCGCCACAAGCCGGCTGGTGTCCAAGTGCGTCCGCCCACAAGACGTCAGCGGGAAGAAGCAGCATCAGCAGCAGCAGCTTCGACGGAATATCCGACATCTCCGACGCAATGCAAATCTTCCTGCGCCGTCTGCCCAGCTAGAATCATGGGCATCACAGCAACGCAAGTGTTTATTTTTTAGAACTAGAAATTACAAGTAAACGTTATTGTCGGAACAGCCTCCTTTCGGTTCATGTGGCCGCGGCCATGCCGACAGTTACACTATCCTATACTGACGACACTTTCATTATACCCGCGGCAGGTGAGGCTCGCTATACTGACGACACTTTCTTTCACTATACCCGGGGTAGGGGAGGCTTTTTCTTTCTGAAAAAATTAACGTGTCATTTCTTCTCGTGCTGCCTAGATGACCCGGTAGTGCTCACGATGGTCGAACGAAATGGTTGACGGTCGGAATCCCACTTCTCGGAACATTCCTGGGGTAGGTGCAGCTCGTGCACAGAAACCTACATAGCTTTTCACCCTACAACATGAACCTCGCTAGATTTTCACCGCTCAGCAACCTAGCCCTTGCGCCCTCTTGCGCCGCGGCGTAGGCGTGCACGTAGAGCAGCAACCTAGCGTTTCACCTGTCCTGCTTTAGGCTTTACGTGTACAACAACCTAGCTAGATTTTCACCGCTCAGCAACCTAGCGCTAACCGCGCACACCCACCTAGCCCTTACGCCCCCTTGCGCCGCGGCCTAGGCTACTACGTACAGTGTGGTATAGCTTTGGGTCGGGATAGAGCTATCATACATACCACATCCTAGGTTTGGAACGGCGCACAAACTTGTACAGCAGCAGGCCGGGTTCGAACCAGGTATCAGTGGCTTCGAAAAGAACCGTTATACATGCATATCCATCGGGTATGTTTCTCTTCGTCAATCCCCACCCCCGCCCGACTGTGCCTCGGGCTAGGCATACACTGCAGCTGCTTGTGGGGTTGTATCCAGGACGTTTCCACAGGAAGATTCCCGTCAACAATTGCGTTCGACTAAAAACACTCGAAATAAGTCCAGTACCCAGTCGGTTTTCCTCCACTCACTAAAAGACTCCACCATCCCGTTCGACTGTGGGGATATCTCGAACGGGTAGTCTTGCTGTGTGTGTATTATTTTTCCTAATAAAATTAGTCGTTAGCACCTCCGATGCGCTGCCAGCGTTGACCATGCAGAGAGCAAGGTAGCGCTGCGGCAGGGTCGCAGGGCGTTTGTTTCCGCCCTAACACTCGCCCTCCTCCGGTCCGTTACAGCAGCACAACAGATTTTTGTCAGTCCGCAACAGGTGACTGACTTGACACGACACGCAGAGGGGGATGCACGGAACACAGAACGTTCTGAGGATCCAACCTTAATGTCCCCCCGGCTACGGAACGGTTCTTGCGTTACTGGCACGACAACGTCAGCGTTACTCTTCTTGGATGCTATACATAGCTCTGCAGGTACGTGCTGCAGGGCAAGCCATTCGGTGCTTGTGACAATCGTATTCCGAGATGCATGAGGCGGCGGCGGCGGCGGCGGCTGACCAATCACAAGCAACTCTTCTAGAAATGCGAACGAGCCTTCCCCCGCGAGGGACGCGGCGGGCAATCAATTTTCAACCCCGCTTCGTCCTCCTGCACGTCAAGAAGCGCATCGATACTGCTGTAGGGTAAGTTTCGCAACAAAAACGTTCCCCTGATCCGTGTCCCACTTCCCTCGACCTATACAGCAGTAAAGACGTGCGATTTCCCCTCGACACACCGTAACAAAGGTGGTACTCGGGTACCTTCCGACGTAGATACCCGTTTTCGGAGGTTGCCAAACGATAACGACGGCGTACAGAAAAAAAAAAATCCTGCTTCTTCTCGTTGTCTCTCCACCAGAAGAAATAAAAAATGCGTATTCGACGATAGCGGAATTCCGCACGGAATGAATGCTGTGGACAGACGCTTTCACCGTACTACGTCAAAAAAAAAAAACACCACCAACTATCACAGACATGGAGACAAACCGGGAGTTGGGATGGGTTGTTGGACGAGCCCGTCTGTTGTTTTTTGGAGACATGAGGCGGAGCGGCGGACGAGGTGTGCATGTGCAACAGCACGAGCACAGCTGCGGATGCGTCTGGCATTACCGTATTGGATAAAGAGCAGAGGCGGGTATTAACCCTTACGTGACTGGGTTATTTGAATTTTTTTTGACAATCTTGTTTGTAACGCCCTCACCTCTTCAAGGATGGTCGAACCAGAGCCTCCGCCAGCAGACCCCCTCCCCCCCCTGCTCCTCCTCCTCCACCTCGGCCTGTTGTTGGGGCGATGATGGTGGTGGTAGTAGAAGTCGTGGGTGTCGGCGCAGCTGGTACCTTGCGCGCGCGTGGCTTCTGGGGCCGCCGCGGGCTGTAGATGCAGTGCGGGTTTTTCTTGTTGATGCAGTAGCTGCAAATGGAGCAAGACAGAAGACAGGATGGTCACCACGGGAGCTAGGTAAAGCTTAGACAGCAGGTTTGATGCACGAATGAATATGATAAAAAAAAAAAAGGGCAAATGACAAAAAGACTGCACGAGAGACATGCCTCATGATCTTTTGCATTTTTTTTTTTTTATTATTCCTTAACGCACACAACACGTTTGCGAATTTTGACCGCGGGCTCGGCAAGAAAACCCCACATGCCGTCGTGCATGTTCCTGCTGCGCACGCCATGAGGAAAGTATTCCGTCCAAAGCGGTCGGCTTGGCAAAGGTTTTGCAGCGTGATTTTGTAATACAAACCAGAGGCTACGCTTGTACCAGTAGGTGCCCTGCATACACCTGTCATAGGGATGAACAGAGAGAGTGTATCCGTTGTGCAGGTGAAAACAGCAAATACTTGACTATTAGAGCAGACAGGCAACCAGACCAGAAAAAAATCACTTGCACTGCCTCTAAAACATGCAACACATACCTGCACCGATTGACGCCGTCGCCATCGCACTTCTTTTTCCTCCCATTGCAGAAGTCGCACGACCTCCGTATGGTAGTTTTTTTCTCCTTGGTTCGACGCTTGTTGGTTTGCCGGCCTCCAGCGACTACGCCCGTTACCCCGACAGCGCCTGCTGCTGCTGCTGCTGCTGCTGCTGCTGCTCCTGCTGCTGTAGTCGCTGCTGTGCAACTGGGATGCATGTCGGTCTGTCGCACGCTCCCTCCGCCGCCGTCTCTTGCTCCTGCTGCGTTGTGTCTCTCGTGCGCGTCTCGCTCTGTCGGCGTTATTTCCGCCGCGTTATTTGTGCGCCCTCTCTCTCCACACTCCGGAAGGATGACTGCTGCAGGTGGAGACACAACAAGGGTCAACAACCCGGGTGCAGAACACCGCTGGGCGGCTGCTCCGCTGCTCCGCAACAGAAACCCCGCTTTCCTTCCCGTTGTTGCTGGGAGATGAGCCGACACTTCAAAAGGGTGGCGGAGCTCCAAAGCGGTGTAATCAGCCCCTGGCCGAGAAGTTTCTGCAGGATCTTTGAGTGGTTGTTCTCTTGCTTGTCGCCCCAGGCAAGCAACAGGCTTTTCATGCAGCCCCACAGGCAGCAATGACAGATGTGATGAGATACACAGCTTGCTGCGTTAAGGGGCTCCGCAGAAGAATTATATGAAAGGTACCCAGTTGATGGCCCCCCGACCCTGCTCTATCATTTATTATCATCTCCTGCCTCACATCACATTTACAGTACTACATACCTGCTGCTGCTGCTGCTTTAGTCTATATCCTCTCAGCAATGGCAAGGGCCCTCCCCAAGGAGGTCATGTGGCGGATCATTCAGTTCGTGGACGACTCGTCCCAGCTGCGAGCTACGTCCTCCAGGTGGAAGCACGTCGGACGGGGAAACTCGAGCATGGAAACGGTCCTTCGAGCCAAGGGCAGCATCCCCAACGAGCTATTGGTCGGGCTCGTCTTACAGTTCTTGGATGAACCAGATGCTGGGTGAGCGCTGCTGTAGGGCAGGTGCCCTCTTTATGTTCGTCGCCGCGGGAAATGGAAAACGGGGGGGCTACGTTTGGAGAAAAATCGAGGCAGCTAAAATACTCTGCCTCCGCAGACACTTCATTTTGTTATGGAAACCGGTTGAAGATGCCACTGCCGCTTGGGGGTTGCACATGCAGACAAGAACAAAACAAGCGCTTTATGTAAAATAGCGTGTATTTGGGTTATTGAGGGAAGGGGAGGGGTGGGTTGAGTGAGCTTGAGACCGCAACCAAGCGAGGGGGTGACACTCAAGAGATCAGTGGCCACGACGACAGCAAGCACACTCTTCTTCCATGATGCTGGCGGACCGGCGTGTGCATGAAGCTGCCGTAACGCTCGCGGTCCGCTCGCCGCTCCTTCTCCTTTCCCCGCTGAAAAACTCGTACGCATCAAAATATTTGATTAAGCAAACATATGGGATAAAGTATTCAATCCGTTGAAAACGAAGAAGCACTAGAAAATGCCTGTGCATTCTATTTTTCAGTCTTTATCTGGTATTTTGGGGTGCCGAAGGGCGTGTTTTTTCTGGAAACTCGGCAACTCCTGGGATTCATCTCAAATCAACTGTCAAAGGGAGAGACAGAGGCTCACAGGGGTCTTTCCTCTGACTTTCCGCGAACTCACTTTTTTTTTTTTTTTTCTGAATATGACCCAACGAATCCATCTCTATCTAAGAAAATAGTCTAAGGTCTAAGATAGGTTAGAAATGAATTCATTGCGTCAGAGAAAGCTAGCTACCTGTATTTCCACGGTTTCCCGAGCAGCACACAGCGATATCTCCCCTGTGGGTAACAGGCCAACAAGAAACTTTTATAATTTGTTTGCAAAGCGGGTGATTCCCTGAAAGAATGCCGTTAACCTAGGAGCAGAGTCACATACGCATGATTCAACATGAGACGGATGTCTCCAGGTTCACGTGTGGACAAGTTCAACCTCTTGTGGAGAGGCTCAAGAGTACGGATGTGTTGTGATTCAGGGGGAGCGAGCCCGCTGCAGCAGGGTTCAGCGTCCATCGTACGCTGACTCTATCTGTGGCAACACCCCGAAGGTAGATCTCCGACAGGTCATCTGACGTCACAATCTACGACACTCTGAGATGGCATTCACATCCATCCATGTATGTATTATCTACAATGCATACATTGTTTCATCTTCGAGTCTAACGTCGTTCATTAACCGGCACTCTGAAAGGCTTCAACACCTCCGATACATAACGTTCCGATACCGCAGGGGAAGTAGGACAATTGCTAGGGGACGCACTATTTAGTCCGGACGATTCCTCTGGGTAGGTTGTAGACTACCGCTGTACAGCAGTAGTTCATGAATTCTTGAGGTTGGTACGGAAAATAGTATTTATTACGATCTGTGTTGGATGTTGGATACGTGTGTACCTTTGTCCTGTGTGTACCTCCCGCTGGTAACCCAAAATGCCTAGTGCCGAACGGTTCTAGACTGACATCAGATCGGACAAAAACAACCCTTGAGTCCGTCCGCTCTCGGGCGGGCAGTCCCTCCCCGTTGAGGGCAGGGTGCGTACTTCGCGTTTTCTAAAAAGTCCCCTTATCGGCCGACGAGGGAAAAGAACGAACGGCCGAATCCTTCTCACGATACAGTACTGCTGTACGGGACTATAAGAATCTCGATATTTCGGGCGTGGTCTCTCTTTCGTGTATTGAAAATGTGCGTGTTTTCTAATTTGGGGGGCCGGTTTTAGCGACGCCAAGCGTTCAGGAGGGATTGTTGTCGCTGTTAAAGGCAAGTCCCTACTGCTGTGGATATAGCGGCTATCAGTCAGGGTGCAGTTGTGCCATTCGAACCTGTAGTCGCTGAACAGAGCATGTCGCAAAAGCTGTAAGGCAAACACCGCAGGAGAGAACAGGTGGAGAAAACGGCCAGTGTTTTTCTGCCACTAGCTTCAACTCCACCACGCCCTCCACTGTGGTGTTATCTCGAACAGCTATTATAGTGTGGTGTTAGTCTTTCTGTGATTGTACGTGCATACTCTATTAGTAAAACGAAAGCTCTGCGTTCGGCAACTCTCCCGTGTGACACGCTGGCCCACCCATCACGTCAAACCAAGACACACAACGCTTACCCGATGCACCCTAAAAACCAACCAATGTCTCTCCAGGGACAGGCTGCGGCACATCGCCAAGGTTTGGGCGGCCTACCTCCAGCGCGTAGCGGCGACAGCGGCAACGGTCACCGCGACGGCAGGAGGCGGTGGCGAGGAGGGAATGGTCCCGTTTCCTCCCCTGGGTATGAGCTTCGGGCCCGCCACGGAGCCGGGGCCCCTTGACACCACGGGACGCCTCCCGAGCGAGCTGCTGGAGTCGATGTTCGATTACTTGGAGGAGGACATGACGGTCAACTGCGCTTCGGTGGCTCGTAGGTATGTGCCCGTTCTTGTCTGCGTGACCCCCCCCCCCCCGCGGTGCTCCGGCCTCTCGGGGACGCGTGGTCAATGGGCTAACCCGTAAAGGCATGCAAAACATAAAAATACCCCCCCCCCCCCCCCCCGGGGGAACCCCAAG